AGAACAATGTCTTACTTGCAGTATCTTATACTAAGGTATTTACCAGCATAATATATATATAATTGAATAAAAGATATCCTTAAATATTTTTCACTTTTAAAATAAAAAATTTAGCAACTGTTTGCTCCAGACTACTTATGTTTTAATCCTTATCTTTGATCTTTTTAAAATAACTATAATAATTTCTCAAATTTTAAGCATATGGTGAATCTCAGTATAATAATTGTTGATTACAAGCGTTACATTAATACAATATATTTATGACTTTTTACAAAAATTGTGGTCATACTATGAGACTGCTAAGTGAATTAAAAGTTTCTTTACCTGCACTTAATTTCGCCTTTACTGTTTTCGAATAGTGCCTCATCTTCCGTATCGGTGAAAGTTAGATTGAATAAATCACAAGCATTTAATTTTATTTCTGATGGTATGTACAAAGTTGGTAGTGCAATAATTACTGATGATAAATTGAGTTCAGAACCTTTAAAGCAACTTTTGCAATAATTTTTCGTAAAATTTTGATGCAATAATACTCAGCTCATTCTAACTTTTATTAAGTGATTATAAATTGCTATTGCTTGATTGAATTTTTTCCACGGTTTGTGATGAATTTAGTTTTAAGCGTAATTATCACATTATCAAATGATGATTTGATAATGTTTAAAGGAATAAAAGATACTAAAAAAAATTAAAGCAAGATGTTTTTTTTTTGAAAAAAAAAGCTAATTAATTTAAGAGAACAAATATAATTTTCTAAAACCTATCGTCATTATGAAAACAAAAGATAATTTTTAATAAAATATAATAAATTCTTAACAATTAGTAAATGATAAATGATAACATAAAGAAGACGTACCAGCGGTATCAATAGCAATCCAATCAGTCGGATCAACGCTATGCATTGATTGATATTTTCCTTTTAAATTTGATCCGGCATGGAAGTCAACAAATGGAGTACCACCATAGCAGCACAAAATTAATAGATGCTTGGTTGTAACTGCTGTTATATTCATCTGAAAATAAACTATATTAAATCAAGTTATTGCAAATTTCATGTGTAAAATTGATGGGATTGTTATCAAAATCGTTCATTATTTGAAATGATCATCAATTTGCTGCACTGAACTTGTTTCACTGATCAATTCAATTGATTAATCCAGTTTGATCAGTTACTTGTGATCCGTAAATCGCATAATTATAATGATAAAGCTGCTAATATCTATTTGTACATGTATTAGTTCAAAACATAGTAGATTAAAGTAACAGAAATGAAGCATCTATTAGCACAAGTTAAAATTGCTTATAGAGTAGCTAAAATAGCTGTAAAATCCAATGTAAAAATTACAATTTATCAAAGCTTGCTTTTTCAATAATTTTAAAATGAATTTAAAATTACAAAGTTGATACAGCTTTAAAAACAAATTCACAAAACACATATTGTTTATTACAGTTCTTTGATTTACGAATATATTTTTGTAGATTGTTTTTTCTGTGGAAAATAATATGTTAAAAACTTCACAAAAAATTATGCTTTGGTTTGCTTATTTAATAATAAAAAATCATTTGAAAATCAAAACAGTTATAGCTTATCTAATTCAATGATATGAAAAATTTCTGAATTGAAAATATTTGACTGATCATCAAAATCATTTCTGCATTATCAGTTTGTGATTTTACTAAGGTAATTAATTCCTGGCAAGTGAATAACTTTCCATAACTGAAAAGATTCAATTTTATTGTAAACTCTAATATTTGCTGTTAATTTGTGATACCATTATCCTTTGTTAAATCATATTAAAAACTAACGAATTTTGATAAAACTATATTGAATCAAATAAATATTCAAGGAAAAAAGATTCACATATACACAAGTTTGCTTTGATGAATTGTTAATAATTTATGGCAATAAAAAAGTTTCAAATTTCGTAGTTCACAAATAAGGGCATATACAATAAAAATAAAGTGTAATTCTAGCTCTAATTTTTTTTTAAAGCAAATATTTCAAAGTTTGGATTAAAATACAGTATGATTTATTTGAAACTGCAACATTTTATTTAATAATGCAATTGGAAAATAATAAAACATTAAAACTTGAATCCCTTCTAAAAATTTGAATTAAAATCCCTTAAAAATAGCTTTGGGAATGTTCAAACTTTTTTAATCAAAAATTAAAAAATAAAAGCCAAACAGTAAGAAAGAGGAAAAAATTTATTAAATTAATCATTTTCAACTAAAGCGTGAACATTCCCAAGCTAAGTTTGGCAATAGTTCAATAGTTTATTATTCACTTGCATAAGTAATCCCCGTACTAGCAGTTTTAAACAAATCAAAGATAAAGTATCAAATTTCAAGAATGAAATCTGCTAAAAGTTTATAAAGTAAAATTGTCGTTACATTAAATGTAATTGTTATACTTTATTACGACTTCAAAAATAGTTTTGTTCATAGTGAAATGCAATAGCAAAAATTGAAGTAAAGTAGTAAAATGTCATTGCTAAAAAAAGTGACAACACAAATTTTTATTCCAAAAAAGAAATACTTTTGTACAATTTTTTACTGATGTAAAAACGAACGTTTAATAATTACTATTTAGTTGTACATTTCAATTTTTTGTGTGTAATAGAAGAATCTTTAAGGAAATAAGATTAGATCTTAAATTATATTACAAGTTTGATGTATTGAAAAAACCAGCTTTACAAGCGAATTTACTCATACTGATCACTTTAAAAGTAATTTAGGATAAAAGTAATATTTTTATAGAGAAATGAAAAAAATACAGAGATCACTGAAAGCTTTTAACACTTAATTTCTACTTCATAGTGCTAAAATCATTTACAATTTGATATGATATCCAAAAAAATTACTATAATTGATATGTTCAGATTTGAAAGTTGAACTCAAACTTTCTTTGTTTCTTTGTAGACAAAAACATAATAACTATTAATTTTTGAAAAATTATTACTCAAATTAAATTGTTTATCGTCGAAGTTTTAAAAAATAGAAACAAGCTTTCACTTATCGGTAGCATGTCTTAGCAGCAGCAATGGATATGACATATGTCAAGAAAATAAACAAAGCAAAACTATTTCAAACAACAACATAAACTTTTTGAAGAAACAAATAAATATCAGACTTCATTCTTTTTTGCATTATTGTTACAGAATACTACTGAAGAAAGTACAACATGGAATGTAATTTTTTGCTTAGCAAATCAAACTTTCTGATAACTTACATGAGTTATTTTTCGCAATTTTTGATAATTTTTCCCAGAAAATTATGCAAAAAAAGTTTGATGAAGGAAAAAATCATCAAACTAATCAATATGAATGAATAACTGATTAATTAATTGAATGATTAATTTGATCAATTAGTCAAAGAATGGATAAGATATTTTGAGGAGTTAAGTAAATGAATGAATGAATGAAAAAATGAATGAACACATGTACATGTTGTATATGAACGATTAAATAAATGAACCAGTGGATAAATGAATAAAACGATGGCTTGATCAGAATTATATATATAATTTAATTATTAAATGTATTACAACAAAATTGATTTCCAATTTCGTTTCATCAATAACTATAAAAATGGCAACTTCAGTTTGGTAATTTCATTGCGAGCGAAAAAAAAAACTCAAGCAAAATATTCATTAGAAAGTTTTGAAAAACTTTAGATTAAAATTTAATACCCTACTTTTCAAATTAATTGAGGTTATTTTAAATTGTACAAGATAAAAAATGATAATTTATATAACTGATCAAGTCTTAAAATCTAACATAAATACTCAAAATATTTAAGTTTATTCAATTTAATTTTTAAATATCTAAAAAATTGAAGAAAATTAGTACAGAATACTGTCATTTATTTATTTTTCACGCATAATTTCAGAAAACTATGGAAAAAAACTTGAAGCAAATAAATGCATTAAGTTATTATTTATTTTAATTTATCATTGTTATTATTATCAGTGCAATCACGTTTACTACCTGATAAATAAATGAAATATTGCAAGCAATCATTTATTACTTGCGATGCATAATTTATTAAGCAACCACATTTATTGATTGATAAATAAATCATAATTGCAGCTGTTAATAAAGTAATTCATATATCAAATATTTTTTGCTACTTTTTCCACTTCATGAGAGAAAAAATTAATCACTGAATAATCAGATGAAATTAAAGCGTAATTTAATCTTAATGTGACGTGAAAATGGTTATGGCTTAAAATATAAGTCTAAAATGTTTGCAAATGGCTCGAAAAACCATTGAGAATAATTGAGGCTAAATATACTTGCGTATTTCCAACTAGAAATACTAATAAAAGGCATAAAAATAAATTGGAAAAGGCAGCCTAAACTTGATAAGCCCTGTTTGAGCGGCTAAGACATAAAAATGAGCTTAAAAGTCCAGCAGTTAACAGTTTGAAATGCGTAACATCTTGTTTTACTTCAAAAATAGTAGGATTAATTGATTCACTGATCAACTGATTGACTGATTGATTAATAGATAAAATACTTGAAAATACTTATTGCTAAAATTTTGGAAACTTTCAAAAAGAGTTCGTAGTCAGTTGTGAGGCTTTTTTATTTAAAATCATTTCCAGCTTTTACTTCATTTTTTGTTTCAGTTCATGTCGTTAGCTTTGTACACAACAACAGAACTATTTAATTTTTGTTCAAACGGATCAAGTAAGTCAATCACGAAGAAGCGTAATGAGATAAATGGTTGCAAGAAAGACAATTTTTTATTTAACGAAAAAATGCAAAAGGAAAATTTGAGAAAATTCGAAGTGATGAAAAAAGCAAAAGTAAAAAAAGAAAATACAAAATAATGCAACATATTCAAAGATAAATTTAAACACCTAAAATAAAAATTAATGAAAAATTATTTAATTTGTTCGAAATCCGAAAATTTTATCAGTTTTAGCAAAAAATAAACAAGATAAAAAAACTGCTATAACTGTTAGTATGAGATTGAAAGATAAAAAAATGAATTACTAATTTACTTAAATTATATTTGACTTTTGGTCATTATTTATTGAAGTAGTTCAAAAGGTAAAAGCATATTTATAACTTTTTTCATTTTTGCTTCATATAATGCTGCGAAAAAAAAATTTTTCCAATCATTTTGACAAATTTTTGACACAAAAATTATTTTTTAAGATTTCATTTCAGCACTGGATTAGAATGTGTGACCAAAGGTCAAATATAATTTATGTATTTTATGAAGTATTTGCTGACATATGCAAAATATTGCCCATAGGAAGTATATGTATATATATCATTCACAAAAACACTTTATAAAATTGTAATCAGAAGCATCGAACAAATTCAAAATCTGTATGTATAGTATCAAAAATTCAACCTGAATACTTTGATTTTGTAAGCTATTTTTTATTTCTGATTCAAAATCAAAAACATTGAGTCTAATTTAAATATTAATAATCCAGAAATCTAAAAATCAAGTTTTAAAAAAATTCAAAAACTTTTTGTTGCCAATTATTTGAAAAATTTTTGAGAATATTGTGATTATTTTGCATTTTAACCATTATGAAGTAAAATTTTGCATAAAATATTGAATTTGTTAAAGAGAAAAATTGTGAAGTCATTTTTCCCACGCAAGTAATTATTTTCAATATTTTCTTTAGTTACTAAGTAAACAACTAATGAAAAAGTTTTAGCAATGCTATTTGTTTTCAATATGCGTATTTCATGAAAACGTTATTTTCCAGTCGTTTATTCCGTTAATATTACACGAAAACTTTGTTCCACGAAAAACGAACAAAAAATTTGTCCATTTTCAAATCAAATTTGTGAAAAATTATTGCAAACCCGTAGATATTGCCAATAATACTAAGTCATTTCAGCAAATTCTGAAATATACAAAAAAACTTCAATACTTTATGAAAGTTTTTATCAAAAAATATTAAGGGTTTTTTAAAAAATGCTATAAATGGAAAAAACAATAAATGCCTCAAAATTTTACCGCCTAAATCAACGAAATTATG